AGAGAGAGAGAGAGAGTGATGGAAGGAGAGAAAAAGGGTTATATATTATAAAAGGTGCAAAAATAACACATAAAAACAAAAAAGAGGAAGCAGTCGTTCCTGGTTCAAAAGGAGTGCAGGGGAAAATCCAGACTTAGAGAGCCAAACCTTCATGACCCATCCCTCCTAAAGATCCAAAACATAATAAAACATACAACAATTCACCAGAGCGAATGTTTTCCCATAACCGTAAAAACACAAAGGCAACAGTTACACAATATTTTTTAATGACCTTGGCAAAATAAATGTGCTATATTCACCTCTGTGGAATTCTAACGAAAGTTTTTAAATTTTTAAATACTCCCCCCCCCCAATATATTCAAATTATACATGAATCCATAAAGAAAAACAAAAGAAGAAAGATTGCTTTGAGCACTTCAAAGCAAAAGATTTCCTTACAATCCTTCTCTAAGTCAGAAAGAAATGATAGACAAAAAGAAGCCACAGCCCTAATGTAAAAGCAGGACTCCGTTTCACTAAAACTAAAATTAGGAATGTAAACTAGACTAAACATAATATGTTCTACTAAATATCAACCATACTCTGCTTTGAAATCCGAAATGGTTATCATTTCATTATAATGGCACACAAATATACTGTGAAAAAACCCATTATATTTAATAATGAAAATCCTTATGCCCCATAGCATTTGTCTTAACTAACATTGTTAATAATAACAGTTAATATTGTCTAAGTGTAAGACGGCCAACAATTGTTGAGGAGAAAAGTGATGGTGTTGGACAGGTAGATGTCTTAGCGTCAATATAATACATTAAAAAAACCAAACGGGAAAGTGGGAATAAGTCTTCTTTTGTTCAGGTGATTGTTTTGGTCAGGTTGCCGTTAGTTCAAGATCGACTGTATTTAAAAACTGTGGTAAGAAAAGACACAAACAGTGAAACTCACTTCCATTGTTCAACCAAGTCATCGGGCTTGAAAATTAAGTAGGATATATATATCTCAATGTTCGATTACAAGAAAAGTGTGACAAATGCAAGTATTTTGTTAACTGTAACGATAGGTTTATCCGATTCTGTTCTGAACATGTCACGAAGCAAGTATAAAGGGGAAAAAACCCAATGAAGCCTGAAAAGGCTTGCTTGTATGAGCAGTTACTTCCCTTGACACAACCTCTGATTCAGGAACAAAACGGTCAGCCTTGCGCAATACTTCCTTATTTTGTTTATGTGAAGCACACCAGAACTTAAAAGAGCACTTTATCAATATCAAGTAAAAGTGTTTATATGTCCGCAGCTGCTCTTGTCCCCTACTTTGTGACTTGTCTCTCAAAAAAGTTGGCAGAGAACTTGGTGCACTCTGCCATATCTGCCACAAAATTGTCTTGAATTTGAAAAGAAAAAAGTTTAAAATTTAAAAAAGTGAGAAAAAAAAACACAGAACAAAAAAACAAAACAAAAACAAACAAAAAACCCAGTTTAGTCAAAAAGGTCCAGGATAGCCACCTGTTGTCGGCAAGAAAAGTGGCTGCCTTGGAATGGATTATAGCATTGCAATATTGAAAAATGAATGGGGAAATGAGAAATGGTCTTTTGAACAGGCAATTGTCTAGGAAAGGTGGCCATCACAGCAGGTTGAACTGCAGTCTGCGCATCCAATCTCTACAAAATTCCTAAATATTCAGGGACGTCCACATTAGTCAACGTGGAACATCCTTAAAAGGCTCTGCCAGGACGGACCAAAGCATCTTGAGTATGGATAAATCGATATCTGCTTCGAATACATTGGAATGCAAAAATCTTGTGGACTTTCTTTTAGATGCGTTTCAACAGTTTGATTGATTGTAACATCAACATTCAAGGAAATGAGAAAACAGAAAAAAGATCACATTGTTCGACACTATCACAAATTGCGACCATAAATGAAAAATCCCTGCAGCTCTTCAGCAGCTGGACATCTAACATTTTGAAAAAAAATATTAAGCCTAAACCCCTACAATATGCAAAGCAAAACTATTGTAAGCACATATTTTTTTCTGAAAAGTCAAACAACAATTTAAAAAAACAAACACCAGTTACAAAAAGTGTTTCACTTTCCATTGAAATTACTGCAACAGAAAGTGTGCTGCAAGAGCAACAATTGGGGATCCAGTTGGCACACCAGGGAAAGGGCCACTTGAGCCAGCAATGTCCAGGTGTGAATAAGGCAGTGGTTTTTGGGAGTCCACACCATGCTGGGGACAAAGGAAAGGCAAGCTTTTCAGTACGAATTTCCCGGCACTTGCAACACAATAAAGTCATATACCGGTAATAAAAAAGAAGGAGAGTTAAGGACGATAGATGTTTGAAAGGAAAGGAGAAACAAACCACACCACAGCACTCACCAACTATCCACAAATGCAATGTGACTGAACGCCAATGAGACAGAAAGAAAGGGTACGAATTTTCCTTCACTGACAGGATACAGAATAAGTAACATCAATGATTTTTTTAATAGAAAGAGTAATTCACAGCACTGGCAACATTATCAGGTCATGTATGTGCCGAAGATTTGAGGGGTTACAAGAGAGTAATAAACACAAAAAAGAAGGAGAGATAAAGACGTTTGGTAGGAAAGAAGAAGAAAACCTCACCAAAGCAGTCACCAACTACCTACAAATGCAAGCTGAATGAAAGCTAACGAGGCAAAAATGAAGAAAATTATTTTTCCTCCACTGACAGACAAAGCAAAATCAATGATTTTCTTCCTTCTTTTGCCCTTAAAGTTCTCTTTCTAATCTTTCCAATCACACAATGTGACAATCTCTCGTTGCAAATTCAGCATTCAGATCATGTTGCATCCTGAATGGCCAACGCAAAGTCTTTTACTTTAAAAATACATTTGAAAAACAGCGTTAAGAACCTAATTATGGTTTTATATGATTAAGAAACACCTCAAAACAAAACTAAAAAATAAAGTTCAGCTTCTTTCTGAAACATTCTGCTCCTTAAGAAAGAAAGGCGAGAATAGCAAAAATTCACAAAGTTATTTTGAACGAAGCTCATTACACTTCATTTATGTTTCTATCATTCACCTTGTCCAAACCAGACGCCAAGATGAGGAAAGCACCAGGTCCTTGATGTCCACGGTTGGTCATAGTAGAGGGAGAGTTGTTGGCCTGGAGCACATCTTCATACTCCGATTTCCCAGCATGGAACTCAAAATCCTGAACAAGTTTGGTGGATATAATGCGTATATATAATATAACACATTTTAAAAACTCAGCTAAAACTGGAGCAGTACTCGCTTGTACTAGCAGCAATCAACAGCAAGTCTAATCTGAACTTCCATACAGGAATGCTATCAAAGAAAAGAACACAATGATGATTTACAATTTAGTTTTAGCCTTCAGGATTTATAAAAATATAATTAACATTAGCATCCTAGAAGCTCCAAAAGTCCCAAACAGCTTTATATTCCTTGAAATTCAAAAGACACTCAAATAAATAGGAAATTACTGTAACTATGATGCAACATAAGAATGTCTACAACTGGGAATGGTCATTACCTGTGCAAAAGTCAATAGCACTAGACACAAAATATAGGCTTTTAACTTGCCATAAAAAAAACCCACAATAAATGATAGTGAGCAAGGAGTAAAAAACCAGAGATAAGACTTTTTTCTGAGCCATAAAATTCATCTGGTACCGTACCCAAAATATGTTTTTTAAACTCACACCAAGTGTTTTTGCATTGAAAGGCAATGTCCTTACTGCAAAGAAACACATTCCAATAAAGAGTAAACAGTTATTGAGACTTCCTAAACTAGAGAATTAAATCAGAGTTACGTTCACAAAGTAAAGCTCTCCAACCGCTCAGTGTAAGACCCCATGACAAGTGACGGAATCCTACACTAAGCAGTTATTTTGAAGAAAATGTAAGAAATCTTAAGATTGACTAAATGGGCCTGCAACCCAGAAAATTTTAATATACATGCAACTTGACTTTTTATGGCCTAAACAACAGTATGATGATTGATGTTTCTTACTCTAACATAGGCTGCAATTATATGAGAGTAGAGTAATATAGTATTTTAGTCCTGTGGAATATATTTTGAACAACCGTCTCACAGGAACGGTTATTTCTTGTTAATCTTTTACTCCACCATTGATACATTTGGAATTTGGAGGAGGCAGGCTGTGTCTGCTGTCTAGAATTTTTTAAAAAGGAAAAAAATCAAGAGGAGACTACGCCCCAGCTTTTTATTATTAAAATCGAATACCGCACTCAGGCACAATATTGACATGCTTGTGAGAGTGAATGCACATAAATCCTTACTTCTCTTTTATTAACACCACGAGTACACTCTTTATGCTATGTATAAATATATATATATTCTAATATGTATAAAGATATAATACAGAGAACCATCTTTCAGGAATCTTACATCACGTCGGAGTGTGGAAATTTCGAAGGGATCACCAAAGTTATGGCCAGTTTCCTGAATCCTTTGTGCATTTCTCATCATCCTTGCTGGTCCGTTGTCCATGATAATCTAAAATTAAAAATAATAATAAATCAAGACTATGGTAATGGGGAATGAAGGGTTTATAAAATAGGCTGATTCGCCCTACATTACAGAACAGACATCATTTGCCATTACATTGAGTTTCAGAGAGAAGAGAAACTCAACAATTTAGAGATGGCTAGGAAGTGTTGTGGAAAAACCAAGATGGCAAAAAGATAAAACAAAGAGCAAAGGAACATTCTTTTTCCACTTTAGTTTTAGTAGAGGTTTTACGGCGCTCGCAACTGCATAAGGTCATATGGAGCGCCAGAAGGTTAGAGATTTTACTAGAGAGTAACAAACATAAAAAAGAAGAAGGGAAGATAAGGACGATAGAGTTTTCATAGGATAGAAGAAGCAAACCACACCAGAGCACCCGCCAACCACCCACATCTGGCCTGTTGAGATCCCACCCGAAAATCTTCTGTGGGTTTTGTGAAGGTTCTACCTGTTGATTTTTCCACTTTACTTCTTTTTTTGCATGGGTTCAACAACTATTGGTTACATATATAGAAAGGTCATTCAAAGGCAGAATATTTGGCCTCACAGTCATGAAATGAAGATGGAAAAAGTAAAATGAAAGAAATGACAGGCCACACCAAAATTTCACATATACCGGTAAACCTAAAGTTATTCATGACTGATGGATCCATCAGTGGTGTTGCGCATCCTAATGATGAGCAGTTAAATAAAGGGGGTTGTGGAGAGCCTTTGACTTCAGGTTCCACAGACAAAAGTGCCATTTTCAGGAACGTAATTTAAACTTCATAATTGGTGTAGGAGTATTAATGTTTCTCTAAATTCTATGTATAATCTCAGATTGTCTTTGAACTGTGAAATGTTTAAATTACAAAGAATGGAATCACACAATTATACACCTGGAAACCCTTTTCAAGGATTGATCACCGCTGCATTAATGTGACAAGAAGTTTTCTTAATAAAGGGTGTTGAGTATGGTGTTAGACGTTGTTCTAAATTGTTAAGGGTGTCAATGTATACTAAAAGATCTTTAAACGGAGCTGAAGTTAATAAGCAAGAAGGTTGAGAAATTCAACAAATAGATCTCTCATGTAAGGCTGGGTCTTTGTGGGAAGAGACTCAGAATTCAGATGATCTAACAAGCAGATTATGTACATAGAAAAGATCAACTCACTGAGTAGTTTGGTCCCATAGCACGAATGGCATGGCCTGTCAGGGTTGCAATTGTAAACAGCTGTGGATTCACCGCATCTTTGGCCTGAAAAAAAATTGACCCAAAGACATTAGTCACAAAGTGTTTAAGAGCAAAAGGCAACGTTACTCTACCTTGGTGACCAAAATATTCAACCGGCTTCTTAGTGATCTTAACAGTGCTCATGAAAAAAAAAATCACTTTAAAATTTTGTTCACATATAAACAGAATGGTAAAACAAAGTACTAAACTGTCTTGAGGAAAGACAAAGTGGTGTTAAACTCTGTGTGCTGTTCCCAGTTACCAATAAATTATACTCTACGAATAAATAACATGGTTAAATCCCCTTATTGGCACAGGTTCACAGCAAAACACCAGTCAGAGTAAAGCTGCCCCGTAGTCTTGCATGTGCAAGTCTTTAGCTCATTCAAAAATACACTTTACAACAGCGCAAGAGACCTTGTTTTGAATTTGCAATCGGTTCACTTGAACTTATGTTTTTTCAGGGGTTTTCTTGGGACTCCCTCCATCCACTTAGTCTCAGTACTCTAAGACACTTTTACAAGCTAAATATTTTAAAGACAAATTTGATTATAAACAAACCACTAATCAGTTACAGTACAGGAAAGATATTGGTATGTCCGAATCAAGGTAGAACATAAATAATATGGGAAATGAAAAAGAAAAGACCGGTGGGCAATTTAGGTGAATGAATTTATCAAGAGAAAGCATTTGTCTCCAATCATAAATGTTATACATTACCATGAAGAGGTCTTTTCATTCTACAGAACCCCCCCCCCAACTTCAGTGTATTATCCTGCACACTTACAAGCTCCTTCATACGGCACAGGACATCAGACATGACCATTCGACCTTCTGCATCTGTGTTGCCAACACGGATTCTGACCCCAGCACGAGAACAGATGATTTCATCAGCAACGTAGCTCTCTGACAGGGAAACAAGAGACATTTCTTAGTTACAGTAAAGGCTCTGACGTCTGTCTGTGATGGTGCAGTTGGCTACACACTTGAAAAACACGCAATAGTCAGAGCTTCAAATATGGGTGAGGTCAAAACTGCACTCATTCTTCATGGACTAGAAAACAACATTCCTCTCAATTCCGTGTTCTATTTACAAACCATGCGTGCCTCTTTGAAATTGACTGCTTAGAGTAAGACTCCATCGCACGTCACTTTTCAAAACAGCGGAGTCTTACACCACACAGTCAAAATGACCTATTTTGCATTAAGTAAAGCAATACAACCACAAGAAAAACAAAAACATTCTGTGTTCTCAAAATTGATGGAAGAAAAATGATGATCGTTGTTGTATGATTTAAAGTTTAAAGCTTCTCTCATTGTACTGCTAAATGAAAATTTGGCCAATTAGAAGGGAAACCTGGAGAGAAAGACCCCCCCATCCTCTGGTGAATTCCAAAATGTTATAAGTCATTCAATGTTTTGTTTTTTTTCGTTTTAAGACAAATGCATTACTTTGGCGGGAGAAGGGGAGGGAAAGGGAGAGGGAGAGAGAAACAGAGAGACAGAGAGACAGTGAGATATGGACAGTGTATGGGGGGGGGGGGGGGGGCAATTAAAATTCTATGCGTATGTCCTAAAACCATTATGTTAGAAATCTCAGATTTATTTGCTACCATTTCACAAGAGACTTTTGCATACTGATTTACTGTTGTTTACATTTTACCTTCTCCAACACTGTTCCGGACCATAGCCAAGCCAGCAATAACTCGCAAATTTTCTGGTTGCAGAACAGACAGCACCTTAGGAAAAAAGGGTCCAAATTATATTACAAACACTTCTATGCATGAGAATTGGTGGCTCGCCTCAATAACAATAATCCGTACCACGGTTCACCAGTATGAGGAAAGAGTGCTGAATTATCGGGCAGAAAAAAAGGATGTAACTTTTATCAGTCAGAAGGATAGTTTCTGTCAAAATGCTATTATGGGGTACCAACATGTCTGCACCCTTTCACACATGTTCAGATCACATTCTGTGTTGATTTAGCATGATGAAGCATTCTCTCGCAGAACTCAGAAGCCCAGGAGAATAGGATTTGTGTAAAATTAGGATCAGAAGCCCAGAACTCAAAGAGTTGAAGCCGCTTTTTACCTTCATGAATCCTGCCACAGCCGCAGCCCCACACTTGTCTCTGTGCATTCCAGCCATGATACCCCCAGCCTTGATGTCCGCACCGCCAGTATCGTATGTGATACCCTGGTTATATACAGAAAAGAATAAAGAATGCAATGTCACAGGATGTACTTTCAAACATCATACAAAGGAATAAAAAGGAGAGGCGTTGTGTATGTCTTAGTTAGCTCAGTTAAAAAGTGCTACCACCATAGTTTGTATAAGCACTAAGAAAGGGCTTATTTCTCTGAGCATCAAATATAAATAGCTTGAACAGAAAGTTCATACACAAATTCGCAAGCTTTTTTTTGGAATCGTTAAAAATGTTTTCAGTATATGCAAAAGTTTGAATGACTATATGTATAGATACAGTCGAGCCTGCTCTAAAGGCCACCCAGCCATAGACAATCACCTGTACAAATGATCACTTCCCATTTCCACTGTTGCATTTTAAAATTATATTGACACTGTTTAAGAAGACCATATATGTCTAAGAAGACCATATATGTCTAAGACAATCGTTTTTCTCCTCAACAATGGGTGACCGTCTTGGACAATTTTGACTGCATTTCTTTCTGAAGCCCAAATTTTTTTCCTAATTTGATCTCTAGCATAAACGCAATGACCCACTTTAGACCAGTAACAACAAAATCACAATTCCCATTGTTTCGCCCCTGAAATATTTACGGTAAGCTTCCTTGATTTTGTCATTTTCTAGTATCCTTTACTGGTTTTACAAAGAAATGGTAAGCATAGATTTATAAAGCAGATTAAAAGAGAATATCTGCAGGTTAGTTCAAAATGGAGATATAATCCTTCAGAATTCGTTGCTTTATAAAAAATAAACAAACAAACTTTGTTGACTACATGTCATTGCCCTTAGAACCCAATGAGACAAATAAATGACCAAACTGAAATCATTGTTCAGAGTGAAAACTGACACACTAACCCATACTTTTATGTATATTTTCACAAAAGAACACACCTTCCCAACAAGAAACAAAGTCTTGGAGATTTCTCCCTTGCCTTTGTACTCCAAAAATATGAGTCTTCCTTTGTGACGATCAACACCTGAATATAGAAGAAGAAATACGTTGCAAATAATGAAGGACGAGGACAAATATCAGCAAAGGGGGCAAATCAGTTCAACAATGAACTGAAATCTGAAGTTTATTACAATAATCGCAAAATCTAATATAAGAATCATGGTTTTGATGTGATCTGGATTTAACACCCCTTTTGATTATGCAGTAAGAATAATAAGTAGAACTTTCGAAAATCCATCTCTCAAACTGCCAAGCCAAATAAGAGAAGAACCATACAAATACTAAAGAGACCTCAAACCAAGGTTAATGACGCTGCAGTCCAACATCATCCAATTAAAGTTGGTCATAGGCCTACACTAAAAATTAACAAACAAAGAGGAAGGGAGTAAGCAACAAAAAAAAAAGACAGTTGATAGACTATTAAAAACAAAGCTGGCAATCAAAATGTTTTTGTTCCAACAAAAATGACCCATTAACTAGGCACTTCAGTGAAATTTTCAAACTTCTCCGAGGGCACTAAAATTTGGATTATTGAAAAGAGCTTGGCTTTCTGTTTTCAGAACTTAAAAAATTTTTGTGCTATCTTTGTTCGTTTAGAAGCAGCGACCGTTTTTGTGAATCAATTTTCGCCCTGATTCGGCCAAATTTTTGCACTGCATTTTGTGCCACCAAAACTCGAAATTTTGCTTCACAACGTCATAATATCCTTAATAATAGTTGTATCGTGACCATTGAGGTATCATTTTGTTTGCCGTTTTATATAGAATCAATATATAAAAATAAAAGTCAAGTACATTAAGAGTAAAATTCTATTTACAGTTTAATTACGTCATAATCGTGATGTCGGGAGTCCAGTGCCTATTATCCCAAAAAAGAAACGGGCACACTTTCCATAATAATGGTCCGATTTTCAAAAGAAAAACATCACTCATTTTGTTTTAAAGAGTTCTGTAACTTGCCATTGGGGAAAAATCATTAAAATTGAAAACAGTTTCAATCTTACATGCATAACTCAAGCAGGAGGTTGGCGGGTGCTCTGGGTGCGGTTTGTTCCTTTTTCCCTATTAACAATCAACCGTCCTTATCTCTCCTCGTTCTTTTCTGTGTACGTTACTCTCTTGTAACATCTCTAATCTTCGGGGCTTATATATGACCTATTTGTGTTGCAAGTGCCTTTTAAACCCAAGCATAACACATAACACAGACTTGAAAAAAATTCAACGAGTATGGTATAAAGCGGGAAATCACCATAGAATATGATAATTACTAAGGGTCATCAAATACAGATATATATATATATATATATATATATATATACATATATATATACACCATGCAATGACTCATATCCCGAAGAACTGCGACACCAGTTCTATGATCAACTGAGTGACCTTTTAAACACCGTGGATGACAAAGATAATGTGACAATGATAGGGGACTTCAAAGGCAGAGTGGAAACAAGGAAGACGACGTGGGAGAGATACATGAAGCCACACAGTGACAGGGTTACAGATCAAAACAGCAATGGGGAAATGCTATTACAGTTGTGTGCAGAACATGAGCTCGTCATATCAAATATCTTCTTCCAACACAAAAGGAGTCAAGTTAAAACTTGGTACAAATGCAATGATCTAAAGATAGCATCAAAAATTGATTTTATCCTAGCCAAAAGATCGAAACTGAGAAAAATCAGAGACTCAAGAGTGATTCCCATCTACATCACAGACTCTGACCACAGACCAGTCATCATGTTTACTATTGACACACCAAACAGGAAGAGGTCAGAAGCAAAGAAACGATGAGAAGTCGTAAATCTCAGAAATATAAATGACAATAACAAGGATAAGATACATGAACGTTTGAAAGATGTATTTCACAAATTTCCCCCAAAATTGGGAGACATGGAAGAAGAATGGAGCCAAGTCAAAGCATGTGTGTACAGAGCATTAAAAGAAGAGTTCGGCACCGGGAAAACAAGAGGGCAGGAAAAGAAAACAACTAGATCTATATGGTGGAATGACCAAGTGAAGGAAGCCGTCCAACTGAAGAAAAAGGCATTCAAAAAGTGGTAGAAATCAAGGACGGAGGAAGATTACATCCTATACATAAAGGACCGCAGCTATACATCAAGGGTAGTAAAAGTAAAAGAAGCTAAGAACAGATCGTGGTCAGTATATGGAGAACAACTGGTAACAAAATGTAAAGAAAACCCTTGAGAGTTTTACTAGAAAGTTAAAAAAGCATGAGGATGCGGTAAGAACCATTCAACCAAACTGAAATAGTCAATGATGAGCACGGAAAACCCTATTTTCAGAAAGCCAAAGATTAAGGAAAGATAGAAACGCTATTTCCAGGAGCTGCAGAATCCTACAGCAGAACAACAGCAAACACCTTCTCACCGAAAGAAACCACGCCAGAACCATCACTACTGCAGAGTGAAACCCAACATGTTATAAAGAATAGCCCCACAAACAAAGCGATAGGCGTTGAAAACATCACAGAATCACAGCAGAAGAGATCAAACTATACGGCCATATCGGAAAACTCTGGCTATGGAAGATATTTAGCCTGGCCTGGGCGACAAAAACAACACAGAGCCTACAGAGGAATATCCCTTCTCAGCCGTGAGGATATAACGTTTGCCAAGATACTGGAAATGAGAATGAGACCAATTGTAGAGACTCAACTCAATGAATCCCAGTTTGGCTTCAGAAAAGGCAAGGGCGGAACTGACGGTTTTTTTTTGCATTCGGACAGTTGTGTGAGACTGCCATTGGACATGACAAGATTTCAATATCGTCTTCGTGGACCAAGAAAAGGCGTTCGACAGGGTAAATAGATGTCAACTTTGGGAAGTCTTAGAGGTTTTAGTAGCGGTTTTACGGCACCCGCAACTGCATAAGGTCACATGAGGGCCAAGGGGTGGATGTCAACAGAGAAGTCATTACAGGGAATCACCTTTCTAGCTTCTACAGCACAAAGTCTGCTTAGACTATCAAGGCACCCCGAAACAGCGGGTCACAAGAGTGTGACAAACATACAAAAGAAGTAGAGGAAAATGACGATATTAAGGATTAGGAAAGAAAAAGGCGCAGTTCCCTGTTGTAGTTCAGACATAGTTATGAGCATGCCATTGTTCGATCAGCCCATTTACAATTCTACTGTGCATTAGAACGTCCCCTGTTTTGGAATGGCATAAAGGCACTTCAGTCAGTGGCATCGCCCCGGGGAGTAGTCTTAGTCTTAGAGTAATATGGTGTTAAAGGACAATTGCTCAAGAACATCATGGCACTTTATAAAAACAGCCTGTATGCCGAAAGGTCAACAGAAGGACTATCGGACTGTTTCCCCATCACGTCTGGGGTGAGACAAGGGTGTGTTCTCTCTCCGCTTCTCTTCATCACGAAAGCAGCAAATGACAACTTCAATGAACTGAGCGAGCTTGTATTTGCTGATGACCAAAGTACATTAAATACAGATGAAGAGGAATCACAAAAAACACACAACAAAATTAATTAATGAGGAATGTAAACACCTAAACATGAAAATCTTCATTTCAAATACAGAAGTTATGAAGGCAAGAAAAACCCCAGGGAAACTCAACATCCTTGTTGACGGAACACAACTCCAACAAGCAGAGGAATTTAAATATCTGGGAAGCATCTTTTCACTAGATGGGAGTATGGACAAAGAAAAAGAACTATGAAGGCAAATGCAGTGACCTACCAGCTAGCACCCCTTCTCAGTCACAAGAACATTCCAACTGAAGTGACATCCCCTGCTCATCAATAGAATCTTCATACCAACATTAACATACCAGTGCCAAACATGGTCTCTAAACAAGGCATGAGAAAGGAAAATCAATGCACGCGAAATTAGATGTTTCTGCAAAACCTCGAACGTCATCAGAGGAGACCGCATAAGGAACGAGACCATACGTCTACCAGTAGTAAATTTATTAGAGCGTCAAAGAGTCAAATGGTTCGGACATCTAACTAGAATGCCCCAGAAACAACTAGCGCCTAGAGCTTACCACATCCGCGAATCCGGCTTTAAATCAAGAGGACGACCAAGAAAGACCTGACTAGATGGGGTTAAAAAGGCCCTGGAACAATATAACTAATTAGCATCTATCTATCACAGACGCCGAAACCTGCACCTCCCCTCGACATCCTAAGGATACCAGAGGAGGGTAAAAGTAAAATAAAGTAAGAACTGAGGAGCAAAAGTGCTCACTTTGTTGCAACTGGCATCTTTCTTCAGGGTTGTTTCATCAGTGGAAAAGAGTAATAGGCTTACACAGCTAATACCGTGAGTCGTGGAAGGATGGCGGCCGTGGTAATTATAAGACAAATAAGACAAGAAGGATATATAATAGAGAAAATGTATAAAGTTGAAGAGTAGGTAAAGTGGGATGGAGAAGAAAAGAGAGGTACGGTTATGAAAATAAGAGGGGAGTGGGAACACACGAAATTACACACTTACACACACACACACACACACACACACACACACACACACAGAGAGAGAGAGAGCGGGGGCGGGGGGCATGCAGTGAATCCCACAACCCAGTACATAGCATTTTTCGTTCTTGTTCATACGATAGAAAATAAAGAAAATCTGGATCGGTACTAACAATAGACCTAAGAAACTTTATCAAGCAAATAATTGCATCAGATACTTTAATAGGCGTCCCAATTTAATTTTTAACAGTGTTAACAACACGAGTCCGGACTCTTGGTACTAGATCTAGGCCCCAGGCCTACGCAATGAAAGGCTTTGGGCAGGGGAAAAAAGGTGGGAGGTGGGAGGGGGGAGCTCAGTGAAAAGGAAATACTTGGGTCTAAAAAGTCTCGTTTTCTTTATACTATCGAATGAACTAAGGCACAATGTGAGGTCAGTGATTATAAAACATTACCAAAATTGATTAACTTTTGAACTAAAGTTTAAAAATCTCTTGGTGATGTATTTCCCTGTCTGTTACATTTCAAACAATGAAGAGAGGGAGCCAAAAGCTCAAGGCGAAAATGCGTGACGTCACGACTCTGCGCGATGTCACGGTGGAAGGGTTCAGCTAGGTTTTCGCGGATTTGGTTGATAAAAGGGTAAGACTTCACTAGCCAAGGTAAGACTTCTACGATAACCATTTAAACGTTTTCTGGAAGAACAAAGAATGGTTTACCAACAAGGGTAGTTTGAAAAAAATATGACGAGAAAATTGATCAAAAATCAATGGTTAAAAATTGTCTATTTTTCAACTTGAAATATTTCGAGACTCATTAGTCGCACATCGACCTGGAAAGAAGCGTTTTGAAGGCCATCCACAGGTCTTTAAAGACATGTATCGGACTTGAATGTTGGTCCACTAAATTAAACAAAAATATGGGCAGTTTGAACCCACTGTCGCGATGAGACGTCATGTCCGGAAACAAAACCCAATGGGACTTTCCGAAGCCAAATGACGCTATAGTGAGCGCGTTCACTGAAGTGCCTACATTAACAAAAAGATCTCATTACCGCTAGTCCAACATCATTTTCCCCCTGTGATCCACATTGTTTGCTGCCCCCAACCAAGCATGATAAAATAGCTGTTCGCTCTTTGGGTGCGAAAATTATACAATGTTGCTGGTATCATAGCTCACAGCCTTTTGTTTTTGTTTTGAATGAACTGAATAAACTGAATGGGCTATCAGACACAAATGCATGTCATTTCAAAGACAAAGCATTAGTTTGTTAGAGCTATTCAGAGTAAAAAAAAAAGGCAGTGACAATTATGTATTCTGTTCTTTTTTGTCTACACATCCTTTACATATGCCAGAAGCAGAAAAATGGAATTGTACAAAATGAAACAACACTTATTCAGTATCAAGTGGGGTGTTAAATTTATACTGTCACTTTTCCCTTAGCTAGATTCATTTTTAATCAATTCACCAAGACTATTAAGTCGAAGAACTAGACGTTTTTAAGTAATCAAACATTAGGTATTGTAGGCATCTCATGAATGCATAAGGTTATTTATGTTGGAAAGAGAGAGCTGGAAATGACTCCAACATCCATGAAATGACACTCGTCATTCGTTTCTTGAAGCAGGGTATACAATGAATCTAAATGATGTCAGAATGTGATAATATCAGAGCATACAAGCTTCACAATAATTTTTGCAATAAACTAGATATTCTGTACTGGCGTAATACTGTGCACGAGTAATATGTGCCATACATAAATAACAAAGCCTACATGTAGGCACTTGTCATTGTAAAACAAATTTCCATTTACAGATCAATTAAAAAAGTGGTACTTTTTCAAATTATCTTGAATTATCAAGAAAAAAAACTTTGGGTTGCAATTCAAATTTAATTCATAATCAATAAAACCAGTAATTTTACATGTGGTTATGTAACTGAAAATGGAAAACAAAACCAGACTGTTCCCAACCCACCATTTGCGGCCCTGTTCACAGCCCCAAGCAGGGGGAAGTCTTTGTTCAAAGTGGTCACATCTGAAATCACATCCATCTGAAGACAAAAGATAAACATAGTTAAACCAATAGAGTAAATCATTTAGAGTCAACATGATCACATTGAGATAGGTAAAACCTGGTCCTTAAAGCAAAGAATAATATGTGAGAAGTGTGTCATATATATAACCGAGTAAAGATCATATACATAAAGGCTTGTACAAACAATCTTATATGCATTAGATACTGACATCCATTTGTACTCACCAGGTTTCATGTTTTGTTTTTGAGCCGCTAACTATTCATAAAACGTACAGTCACTTTTTAATTTTTAAATATAGTGATAAGAGCTATTTATCAGTTAAACAACTTTCATTGTAAAATATCAGACAATGATCTTGGGACGTTGGAGTTTGTTAATTTTCCATCCAGTAGGCCTACTATGTTAGAAACTACAAACTCTCATCTTCTCTTGTCTAACATGTGGTGCCCAAATGGTTACATTGATTCCCTTCTAATATATTATTTCCAAGGATTTACTTAACGTGGTATATTTCAGGATGGAAAAGATTATTGCATCTCTTATTTTTGCCATTTGGTTGAAACAGTTTAAGAATCTAAGGATGAAGGCTTGTTTTTATATTACGCCATGAGCTATTCATATATATGAGTATTGTCTGAACTTGAGAACATTCTTAGACTAGTTAAAGTTATTGAGCCTACAAGCATGAGACAGCAAGTTAAGTACCTCAACACAGGAGTCCTTAAATATTTGGCGCAAGTATTCTTCCACTCTCGGAGCAGCCATTCTCTCTGGATCTGAGCCTCCAATGTCCCTTGCAACAGCTCTGAAATATCAGGGGAAATAAATGGTCTACAATTGCCTTTCACCCGCACTTGATTTGTATTGTATGAGTTTATCCCTTTTGTCAACCTTAAGTTTATTTTGAAGGCAGTATCTCCAATCTAACACTTATCTCTGAGAAAATAATAGAGCCAAGAAAACTCCAAAACAACTATTAAAGTTAAAAAGAAAAAGCCCTGCGAGTCACAGTCATGAATTTTAAACGAATTGAGCAGTGCACCTTCAGTACTTTCCACGAGTATTTCACCTCTCACATTTCAACAATACAAATTTGTTTAGCTTCATGTTGGGAAGGTTAAGCTGATGGGTTGCATAATGTATCTCCAGCTTATAGGATCAGTCATGACATTTTTTCTTCTTATCTACTGCACAAGAAAAACCAATTTCATGTTTTCATTTAAATGCATGAAACTCATAATATTTACCAACAGCAGGACATTAAAGCATAGAAATATGCATGGAAAGAGATGGTGAAAGTACAATGTCAGTTTCTCCCAAAGACTGATCAAATGCATTTCACCTTCCTTTATCTTTACTTACGTTGTGACATTTTCAGGCAGTCTATGTGATCTTAGAGGGGGTAAACATTAGTATTGAATCTATGAGAGAAGTTTACATTACACAAATAAGAAATCATTTACTGCAGCTAGGCAAGTTCAAGTTCAGTCCAGAAGTAAAAAACTGACCAGTGTAAATAAAAACTTAATAATTGACACTGATGCTACATTAGTTCAAAGCTATCACACTAACTTCTACACGCCTTACCTTCCTTTCTCAAAGGCTGCTGCCAGGTCCACATCCTTGGTACTAAAGCTGTTATTGCTGGTCCAAATTCCAAGTCTAGAAAGCTTGGGGGGCTTTCCAGCTTCACTCAACTCTAAAGGCTGCAATAATGTTACAGTTGTAACTCAAACTAGATCTATTGATTTTTGCAAAATATACTGTCAGAACACAACCTTCAACTAAAGAAAATGCTGAGGCACACAAGCTTTTAAACTCACATTATATTCTTATGGTACAGAATCCCCACATTTCCACATAAACTTTGTTTTCTTTGATCTAAATTGACTTTACTGCTCTATTTCAATCTTACAGATTCAGCTGTAGGGTAGTAAGAACATTGTATTTGTTTTACTGTGTCATGTAAGCATTGTGCCTAAATTTGGTTTAGGTAAATAGCAATTAAACGAGCGTACACATTTATGAAAATCTTCTAGCATGGGGTCATCACATTGCCAGCTAGAAGACAGTAGTCTCAACAATGCCTCCTGAAAAAATTTCCAAATTTAAGAATACTTACCAGGTATGCTTTCTGAAGAGTGCCAAGAACAGCCACAAGAACAGCACGGTCGTAGAGGTCACTCTCCACTGTGATGAGAAGTGGCTGTTTGCAGCCAGCACTGATGGCACTGAAGGCATGAGAGGTATTTGGGAATAAAATCACAAACTCTACCTTTCTCAATGAGTACTATCTCTCATTTTTGACAGCAGGAAAGCAAGACGTCAAAAATGAAAATTTTTTTCAAGTCCAAAAGATAAATAAAAAAAAAAAAAATCACAAATCCAGAGGCATTGGAAACAAAGTTCATTGTGATATAAGCATGGCCATTAAACATTTTTTATAAAGAACTGACAGGCTGTTGGATTTGCATTTCACTTTATATGACCTATGTTTACTAAATGTAAAAAAATCAGTGACTCTTATGCATTGAAGGCGAAAATAAATGACTGGGATCAGTCTGGAGCCCAATCCAATTTTACTTCAAATTGCTACCATGGACATTTCTCTCCATGAACAAATCAAAATTAAGCGCAATTTGAAATAATTCTTAGGGTTTTTATTCATTTGTTTAGAAAGATGACATGTGCTATTGAAGCATACTCCAGATTTTTACATCTGTTTTCGCCAAATAGAGTGCTTACTACTTAAACAGATCTTTACACACTTTACTGCATGAACTTCTGACTGTTCAAATTAAGAAAATATAAAAAACTTTATTCTTTTTTTTATTAAATAGCCACATGTTAGACTCAATGGGTCACAATCTGAGTCTCTCCCAATGAACAGACCAACTCAGCTGAAAGACAAACTAAATTTTTACATCTACAAGAAATTTGAAAACACAAGGGGAACAAAATCTTGGCAAGACATAAACCTCCTACCGCTGAATGCCAGCCCCTGCAGCATCTGCAAAGCGCCTGACATCATCCTGATCTCGATTCACTGGGCCTGTAGCAGCATAAATCTGGTAAGAAATGAGTGCTGATATCATTTTGATAGAATAGATAGAAGCATGCATAGATATATTACCACTAACAACTAATATGTGAGGATAAACAGCCCCTTTCCCTGAAATACTTGCATAGCCTTAATACTTACTTTTACTTTTTCATCTTCTGTTGCCATTAAGCGTTGAGGGGAGATGCAGTTTTCTATGGCAGGCCAGCTCAGCAGCTGATCTTTGCGTGGTCTACCTCTACCTTTATAGCCTGAGTGCTTGGTGTTTATAGAGGCTCTTGAGGCTAACTAGCTAAATGACATTTGTAACAGGTGGCCAAACCACTTTATTCTGTTTTTCTATGAAATGCACACAGGTAATAGTTGTTCTTGCTTCTTCAGAAGCCATAGCAGTCACTTCCTCTTCACATACATAGCTATAATATGACAGGTCATCAATGGGTATTAAGATTATTAAAATGTTCACTAAAAAATCTCAAATTCAAACAGTGGGCCCTGCAGGTAATTCTTTGATAATGGCCTACTTACTCCACTAAACAGTTTTCAAAGATAGAGTAGACGAATAAACACAAAATTATAATAATAAAATCAGCGAGGTAGCGGTTGAGATAACTAGATAGCCTCCTACCAATCGTTTGGAGGGAACACATTCTGCAATCAAAAGGACAGGCTGCTTTTCAATCCCATTGTCTACCTGCAACAATAATGAAAAAGATTGCATACATCATGTATAAGTATGAGCCAAGTTATATTATTAGCAAACATTTTTTAGTGCAGCTCACAGAGCCTAATGCGAGGACCCTTTTATAGACATTGCTTCATTTGATATGCAGGAAATATGCAAACACTTCATTTTAGAGTTAAGGGTTCAAACCAGCAGCAGAAACAATGTGTGCATTGACAAGATGAGAACATGAGAGTGCCATTTCATTTTTTGCTTTCACCTAAACTATTACCACACCCCATCTTATAGACAATACTTCACGTGAATTATTTTTCCTTTTATACACCCTTCTCCCAACTTGTGAGGTCAGTTTCCGACTCCTGATACAGATACTGTATTCTACAATTGTTAAATATTTTTGCCTTTAAATAATCAAGGGAAAAAGGTTTACTCTAGAGCTGAACTGAGCTGTGTGTAGTAACTGAGATTTTGATGGCATGAGTCCAATTAACACTATTCTTAAGTTGTATGAGGTAAAGAAAATGGTTGCAGAAAGTTCAGGACTAAATATTATATAAGTGGCAGGACTTCTACAGTATAATCGGACAAGATGAAAAAAGGTTCCCAAAATGGCAAACTAAATTTGAAGATCCTTATTGCTTGTACATTTTTTGTTTCCTATAAATGTAGCATTAGTGATTAATGGTTCAAAATAAGAAATTAAACAATCCCCTCCCCCCCCCAATCTTCAATTTTACCTATATATAGCATATTACAAGTGAGTACATACTGTGCTTATCCCCTCCAACTTAAGTATCATGTATACTATGAGTGGACCACCACATGTGTTGTAGCTTGCTGTTGAATCCAGTGTATAACCAGAAGAGATCATGAATAATTCTAAGAAATTGCAAACAAAATTTCAGTCTCACCGCAGCTGCCCGGTCAATTACTTCCTTGATGGCTGACAACGGCCCAGTTAGCTTTGAAGTAGTGTCTGTGACCACAACAACTGCATCAAAAGAAGCATCTTGAACGTCAGATGACAGTACTAACTGTGGATGTCTGAGGAAATATGTTACAAATAGTAAAACAAAGATTTATTTCTGGAAAGGTTAGAGAATATATATATGACACACAATTGAAGACAATGTGGTGTTTAACACCTCATCTCTTGGAAGAATCAGAGAATCAGCACTGACCTTCGCCATCTTGAAAAAAGATCCCCCATGAAGTTACAAATGGCTATTCAGACACTGCCAGATGTTACATGACACTACTTTTGTGCTAAATCTTAGTCTTGTGAAAACCTGTACATGATGTAAATTGTTTATCTTGCACTAAGAACTGTGAATTTGGTACACTTACTTACATTTTATCATTGGCTCTGATTGAAACATAAAATAGGGAAAAAGATTTAAAAATACAAATACGAGTGAGAATGAATTATACGGAGGTAAAAAACTGAACTCTCGAAGGCACAATTTTAGTTTTAGTAAGGTTTTACAGCGCTCACAACTGCATAAGAAAATACGAGCGCCAAGGAGTAGAAATGTCAAGAGAGAATTAGTCCTGACAAGGAATCGGGCCTGCTCACCTCTCTAGCCTCAACAGCACAAAGTCTGCTTCGAATATCAAGGAACCCCAGAAATAGCAGTTCACAAGAGAGTGATAAACATACAAAAGGAGTAGAGAATAAATGATGATAGTAAGGATGCGGAACGAAAAAGCAGCAGTTCCTCTATGTTGTTCCGGCACAGTATGAGCATCACATTGAAAAATCAGCCCATTTACAATTCTGTGCATAAGAACATGTTAATATCCCCGCTTTGTGAATGGCCTAAAGACAACTTCAGTCAGTAGCACTGCCGTGGTTGGGGGGGGGGGGGAGGCACAATTTAATAATTTAACTTTAATTTTGAGGAAAAGTTCAATATCGAACTGAACACAAAAAGAGGCAAAAAGGTCACAGGTCTAGAGTCAGTAAACTATAAAAATAAAAATGTTACCACCCTGGTCAACTGCTATCATGTTCCATAGATTAATCGAAGCATAAAATGATAATAAAGAGCAGATGAGTTTGTGAGGCGTGGTGTTGAATTCTTAATGTATTATAAATAAACAATGTTAAGTTAATCAGACAGACACACTGACACACAGAAAGCCAAAACAAAACAGAAGTGAATTCTTAGGGCCTCGTTAAAAATCCATACGGACGAGAAATACAAGCTAGGCTAAATTAAATCACCATGCTCAAATAAGTTTTGGGCCCAGCGCATTATAATTCTTTATTACCACTTTAAAATCTTATCAGCACAACAATTAAGCACATTTAAGAGCAGATCTAGATCTATATCTAGATTTCTAGTCAAAGATCAAATCCGGGGGCTCTCGTGGCCTAGAAGTTAAGGTGGCCTCTCATTCAAAGGTTCCGGGTTCGAATCCGGGCAGCGACCGAAAAATGTTCTTCTCTAAAATTGTCTCCTTTCACCTCCTTTCCTGCTCTCCAGCAATGCTCTGTCGTCTGCTTTCTGTCCCCACCCCCTCACCTCCTTTGCCCCCCCCCCCACCCTCTGGGCTCCTGACTTTTTCTGCAGCCTTTCTACTGCTACTCCTTGGCTCCTCCTTACTGCTGTCTTTCTGCCACACCCCTGATCTTCTGGTAGGAAAGATCTACACCTAGCCTTCTCGGGCAAGGGCGAAAAATCTCGGAGGGCCCGCGTGCAAGTTGAACACGTTAAAGATCCCTTAAATGGTGGTCTAAAATCGATAAGAGTAGGCTTCGGCCGCTACTCGGGAAAAATTCAAAATTTCCTAGATTACAAACTGAAAATATAAGGTGTGTCCCGCGCGAGACCTCAGTTGAGAGCGTCGTAAAACACTTACAAAAAAAAATTATTAAAAAACTCAAATCCGAAATAATATAAGTAATGGGCAATTTATAAGTTAGCAGCCTATTTCTCATTCACTTTCTATTAAGAATTATTTTTTAACCTGCTAGGCTAACCTAGAACCTTACCTGAAAGATTTAGCTTAAGGCATCTATAAAAAATAAAGTGACTTATGATCTTTCTCTTTCCCAATATTCTGTTTTAACTTTTACAGAAGGGGTCTGACAGGTGATTTGCATACTCAAGCATCATTAATTGATGGTTTCATCGTCTATAATCCTCACCACAACCTGATATGCCCCATTGTCGAATGTGCTTTGTTTTCTTTTCAATTTCAATGTGCGCTGCTAGATCTATTGCCACACCCCCCACTCGACCAGTTGGTCAGAGAACAACCACCAGCATCCATCCGACTTTCCAAAGAAATCAGCGGAAGGGGGGGGGGTGTAAAGTTAACTCTAGAAAAATCTAGATCTATTGCGTAAAATTAATACAAAAACTGATCAACTTACAGCTCCATCATTCAACAGGGGATAGTCTGATGACAATGGAATTTCTGCTTCACAGTTCTTCGCACAAGTGCCTGACCAGCCGTGGAGGAAGGAAGAGGTGTCGACACCTTTGTTTGTGCAATGGCAATGGCCTGCTTTGCCCTTGGCCCACTGGTGCAGTTGTGGAGTTTATCTGCTCTCTACAAGTAGATACACGGCGATAACAGTTGAGCTTTTATCCGCGACTTCAACTGAAAATGGAAACGAGTAACAGTAAACTGCGTCATATAGGCCTAGATCTAGAGAGTTGTTATTGCCTGTCTATTGTTCATTCGGGTTCAAACTGCTTTTACCTTTATAGGCTAAGATTTTTTGTTTTTTCCCGTTACAACACTTTCCTTTTCCCAAGAAATTTTCTTGGCACGAGCTCGATTGAAGTCGTGACATTATTATCATTCAGTGGCACTTTTCAAGAAAATCTTTTTCTTGGGAAATCAGGGGCAATATGCCCTACGAACCTCTCCTTTCGTGAGTGTGTGTGTGTCTGTGTGTGTGTGTGTGTGTCACTGTGTGTGAACGTAGCTTACCTACTCCACGCGAGTCCACGGTCCCGATCAAATCACGCTGTAAAAGTCACGTGACACGGGTGTCATATGATCGGGATGACACTATAAATAGTGACCTTTGACTAGGGTCAAAACAATGACTGGTGAGGCAAGGCTGTCTTTCCACTGAGGAAAATTGACGCTTTTTTTTTCTCCTCCAGACTTTGCCCTTGGCCAAGCTAAGTGTGAAGGACGAACACTGTGGCACAGGCTAAAGGATCAGCGTTTTGCTGGCCTGTCAGTCCAGAGAGGATCATGAACATCATGTACAAAGCATAGTCCTATATATAGGTCCTAATTATACGGTAGGCCTACCATTCATGCGCCTACAAAGCCCTTTTGACTGTGATGTCTGGGCAGACTCTCCATGACAATCTGAGAATGCTGTTAAAATTATTGAACGGCTGCATTGTATTGTGGTATATTGTTCTATGCCACTTTGCAGAGAGAGAGAGAGAGAGAGAGAGAGAGAGAGAGAGAGAGAGAGAGAGGGGGAGAGAGGGAGAGAGGGAGAGGGGGTTATAAGTTTGGGCAGAGCTGACAGCAGTGGCTCTTGGTTTTTCGATTTCGATGGGCTAGTAGTCTGTTGTTTCTCTGTGTGATTGGTGTTTATTTCCTGCCCAAAAACACCCTTACCTTATTGTTTTACTACACTATACTTCTCTTTTATTCTAACATACGAAGCTCACACACGTACAGTCTCACACACACATGCACACTCACTCACAACACACACACGCGCGTACACGCACAAACACACACAACAGACACGCACATGCACACGCGCTCACACACAACACACACCCACACAACCCACACACGCACAAACACACGCATACACACACGCTCACACGTATAGAGAGAGAAACACACGCACACACACAGACACACAAACACAGAGAGAGAGAGAGAGAGAGAGAG